AGAGAGGTTTTTGCTATAGGGCGCGTGCGCTTGCCAGACAGACAGAGACATAGAGACAGAAAGCGAGAAATCACCCCCCAGGGGGGATGGTCACGCCGCAATCCCTTCTCCTCTATTCTTCTCTCAGGATCTTGGGCACACACGCACATGTGCCTGAGTTTTAATCCACCGGGTCCAGGACGCGAACCGCGGTCGACTACTTGGGAGTCCAGCGACATAGCCATTATGCTAACTGCTGGTTTCCAGTAATGCCAGTTCTTAAGAAAGGATCAGGAATTTGTCAGGAAAGCAGGGAGGGAGGGATATCAATGAGGAAAAAGCATGATCTATTCAGGCAACTCAAGTGTTAAAGCACTTAGTGTTGGATCATAGACTGCAAAATGGACTCTGTTCAAAATGAGATTTGGTAAGTTTTAGGGGTTTGATAATGGTGGGCCTGTGTATCAAGCAAGGGAGTATATTATATATTCTATCTATGAATAAGGTGTGGAGATGGTTTTAAGCAGAGATACTATCTGATTAGATTTGAGTCTTAGAAAGCTCAGACTGGCAGTGTGAACTGGCTCCTCTTGGAGTCCAGACATATGTGGTTAGGGTGAAAGGGAGGAGCTTTGGGAATAGGAATAGGGCAGGGTAATAATGAATGGTCAAGAATTGGATTGGGTGACCAACAGGTAGTGTACTGGTGAAGACGCTGGACTCCCACATACTGACTATAGTCTGAGTCGCAAACTTAGCAGTTTGCTTTCTTTTTATCTCTCTCTCTCCCTCTATGGTCAAATGAAAATAAATAAAAATTAATTAATTTAATTAAATAATTATTTTTTTTAAAAGATTACCTTAAAAAAGAATAGGATTAATGTAAAAAAGAGGGATGTTAGGGTAGTTCTGGGATTTCTGGACTAAGATCTTGATAAACTGATGTACTGTGAAGTAGGATAGGGACTAGAGGAGGAAGAGGAATTCACAGGAAAAGGTAAGAAATGTTTGTGGCATTTAGCCTTATGTTGATGAGCCCTGTTTGATTTAGGGTCACCAAGAGGTATTTGGGTATTTACCTAGCTCTCGTGTGATTGACTGCTCACAGGTGAATGTCTTGTTCTTTTTCTTCAATTTTTCCTTTTTCTTCTTTTCGTTCTGTTTGCTTTGTAGTTCAATAGTTATTTAAGGGACCAGCAGTTAGCATAATGGATATGTCGCTGGACTCCCCACATAGTCGACCATGGTTTGCGTCCCAGACCCAGTGGCTTAAAACTCATGCTGGGCGCGTGTATGTGCGTGCCCAAGATCCCAAGAGAGAACGGAGCTGGGCGCGTGTATGTGCGTGCCCAAGATCCAAGAGGAGAACGGAGGAGAAGGGATTGTGGCGTGGCCATCCCCCCTGGGGGGTGATTTCTCGCTTTCTGTCTCTCTGTCTCTCTTTCTGTCTGTCTGGCGAGCGCACGCGCCCTATAGCAAAAACCTCTAAAAGAAAAGAGAAGAAAAGAAAAAAATAGTTATTTAAAATCAGATAATTTGGTTTTAGCTAAATTGCTTTGTACTTAGGTGACTTTTTGTTAATGTGAAGTTGCATTGTTTTCTTTTTCTGTATCTTGTGGGTTAGCAACCTTAAACCTGAAATGATATTTTTTTACTGGTGTGAATAGAGGACCAAGGACCAATACTTAGCTGTTTCTAAAATGTTGGGGAGGATGAGGACAGTGAAGAAGAGGTAGGATAACTACCAGCAGTAGTCAGTGGACCAAGCTTATATCATAGGATGCAGTGAAAGAATAATTTCAAGGGAAGGTTAAAGACATCTTAGTGAATCATGTAAAAAACCAAAGAGATTAAGATAGAAGAAGAAACCAGAGCATTTGCTGAGACTGTTAGGAATATCTTGGGTCAGTTTTAAGATTGGTGGATAAAAATGGGTGCTGGGTTTGGAGAGTTTAAGAGCCAGTGACATTAATTTAATATAGGTTCAACTGTGTCTTCTTTTACACAAAAAAGGAGTGTTTACCTTTTATTCATTGAGCAATGTCCCAGGGTGTTAACTCAGGGATGTAAAATATATTCCTTGTTTTTGGCTCATTTCCCACGTATTTCTCATAGTGAGTGCGAATATCATTAAATGTTGTATTTTGCATTTAAAATGGCCCCTAACCAGAAGCCAGCTATTTCATCTGATGCTCAGTTGGAGAAATGGCCATCTGTTCAACACTGTGTTTTATACATAATTCATATGAATTGTAGAGCTTTAACACAGAATGAAATATATCATACTTTATGAAAGATTTAAAAGATTTTAAAGTATCATTTTAACTGTTCACAGTTTCACTTGATTTTTAGATTCTACTTGCTGGCTTTTCTTTTTCACTCTCTAGCAAAAATTTTCTATGACAAGAGATCGAAGGAATATAAATTATTGATGGAGAGAAGAGTTTGATAATTAGAGAAAACAGCAAGGTTAAAGTTAGTTTTTTATTTGTTTTGAGATACCTGTGGATAATTGAAGACAGATTTGAAGATGCTAGGAAGACAGTTAATAAGTAAAACGGTAATACTATTTTTTTAAAAAAGAATTATATAATTTTGGGGCCAGCAATTGGCGTAATGGCTATGTTGCTCATGTAGTTGTGGTTTGAGTCCCAGACCTGGAGGTTTAAACTCACGCTCCGTGCATGTCGTGCATTCCCAAGATCCCAAGAGGAGAATGGAGGAGAAGGGATTGTGGCGTGGCCATCCCCCCTGGGGGGTGATTTCTTGCTTTCTGTCTCTCTATTTTTCTGGCAAGCACATGTGCCCTATAGCAAAATCATCTCAAAAAAAAAAAGAATTATTTAATTTTATTATTATTATTTTTTAATTTGCCATATATATAGAAAACGTGCTCTGACCAGAGAGAGGGAGAGAGAAAAAAAGGGAGAGCGAAGAAGAGAGGGAAAGTAAGAAAGCGAGCCAGCAGGTCCCGAACTTGAACCCCAGGTGGCCATGTTGGAGTCCAGCGTCTTAACTACTGTGCCACCTGCTGGCCCCAGAAATAATACTCTTTAATACAGGCACATTTCTTCTTCTTTTTTTTTTGGAGAGGTTTTTTCGCTATAGGGCGCGTGTGCTCACCAGACAGACAGAGAGAGACATAGAGACAGAAAGCGAGAAATCACCCCCCCAGGGGGGGATGGCCACGCCACAATCCCTTCCCCTCCGTTCTCCTCTCGGGATCTTAGGCACGCATGCACACGCGCCCGGCGTGAGTTCTAAGCCACTGGGTCCGGGACGCGAACCGTGGTCGACTATGTGGGAATCCAGCAACATAGCCATTACGCTAACTGCTGGTTCCCTACAGGTACATTTCTTTATCTTTCTGATAAGTAACAAGCAAAGCTTTTTTTTTTTTTTAAAGAATGTATGTATGTGAAATAAGTCTATTTCCTTTTTAAGTTGCTGTTGTACATTAAAATGTTTTTAAAAATATATTTCTTTGTCTGTTTACAGCTTCAGAACTAGCTAAAACACCAAGAAAAGGTGTTTCATTTAGTTTAAAGAATGATCCTGAAATTAGGATAAACAGTCCTCAAAGTAGCAAAGGTAAGACTTTACTCATATTTTGAAAACAGTTTACATACTTATTTCTGTTTTTTTGGAGAGGTTTTTGTTTGTTTGTTTGTTTGTTGTTTTTTTTTTTGCTATAGGGTGCATGTGCTTGCCAGAAAGACAGAGAGCAACAGAGAGATAGAAAGAAAGTAATCACCCTCCAGGAGGGATGGCCACGCCATAGTCCCTCTCCTCCATTCTCCTCTTCGGGATCCTGGGCACGCACGCACATGTGCCCAACATGAGTTTAAGCCACCGGGTCTGGGATTTGAACCACGGTTGACTACATGGGAGTTCAGCAACATAGCCATTACACTAACTGCTGGTCCTGAGTTTACATACTTATTTCAAGTTAGAATATATTACTTTTATTTCTTGTCCTAGTTGATTTTTTTTTTGAGAGGTTTTTGCTATAGGGCGCATGCGCTCGCCAGACAGACTAAGAGAGACAGAGAGACAGAAAGCGAGAAATCACCCCCCAGAGGGGATGGCCATGCCCCTCCATTCTCCTCTCGGGATCTTGGGCACGCACGCACACGTGTCCGGCATGAGTTAAAGCTACCGGGTCTGGGACTCGAACCGCGGTTGACTACGTGGGAGTCCAATGACATAGCCATTATGCTAGCTGCTGGTCCCAGTTGATTTTTTTTTTTAAGATAGATTTTTGCTGTGGGGCACATGCATTCACCAGAGACAGACAGACAAAGAGACAGAAAACAAGAAATCACCCCCAGAGGGGGTGGCCATATTGCAATCCCTTCTCCATTCTTCTCTTATTTTGGACATATACACACATGCACCTGCTGTGAATTTTAAGCTGCGGGGTCCAAGACTTGAACCACGGTTGGTCGACTACATGGGAGTCCAGTGATGTAACCATTACACCATCTGCTGGTTCCCCCGCAAGTGAATTTTTAAATATTCTTTCCTATCCTGAAAATGTATTTAACAAAATGCAGTTAGTACTCCAACATGCCTATATTTAGCAATCAATAAGAGGGAAAAATACCTGTGCTGAGGTGCAAATTGACATGGCCAAGTAGAGACAGTCTTCTAAGTCCCATTGTCATTTGTTAAGTTAGCCTGTTGCTCAGGGAATATTTGACTTTGATACTATATGAAATACAGCTTTGGGGATAAAGGAATCTTAAAAGTTTCTGGAGAATGTGGGGCAGCTATTTTTCAGTGATCTGTTCCAACTGTTTGTTTGTTTGTTTGTTTGTTTGTTTTGAGAGGTTTTTGCTATAGGGTGCGTGCACTCACCAGACGGACAGAGAGAGACAGAGAGACAGAAAGCGAGAAATCACCTCCCACGGGGGATGGTCACGCCGCAATCCCTTCTCCTCCATTCTCCTCTCGGGATCTTGGGCATGCACGCACACGCGCCCAGCGTGAGTTTTAAGCCACCGGGTCCGGGACGCAAACTGCGGTCGACTACGTGGGAGTCCAGCGACATAGCCATTACGCCAACTGCTGGTTCCCTGTTCCAACTATGTTGAACAGTGTACTTTTTTTTTTTAAGTTTATTTATTTATTCCATGAGAGGAAGAGAGACAGAGAAAGCTTGAGATAGACAGATAGATACCCCCAGCAGAGTCTTCATACTGTGAACCCCCTTCAGCTTCTGCCAGTCTCCATTAGAGGCACCCTCTGTGCTCAGGAAGGTCCCAGGACACAAACCCAGTACCTTCCCTTGTAGGTCCAGTTGCATTACCACTGCACCACTGGCTGGCCCTAGTACAGTGTACTTTTTAATAATCAAAAATGAAAAGGGGGACAAGGAAAGTGACGCAGTGGTGATGTACCTGGGCCTACATGGGAAAGGTTCTTGGTTCTTGGTTCAAGTCCCAAGGGCTCCCAGAATGTGCTTTGCACATACACATGTACCCATGAATGTGCTGGCTGAGACTGGAGGCAGATTACAATGTGAGGACCCTGTTAGGGTGTCTGTCTATCTCTCTGTCTCTGTCATGGAAGAAATAAATTAACTTTATAAAAAAAAAAGGAAAAGTCTCCATTTTTTCATGTTAACACTCCATAGAAATGTAAGAAGTAGCTGTCACTAATGTCAGTAATCATAAAATTAAGTGATAATAATTATAGCCTCTAGTGGAGATGTAGTTAATTGAGAATTCAATAATATGTGGTAGCTTCTGTATAGAAACTGTAACTTTGCTTTTAATGAAAGTAGACCATGATGAAAAGTGGTGCATTTGTAGTCAGTCATGGCTTTTTGTTTCATTCTTTAGGACATTCTGCCTCAGAAAAAGGTCAACCGAAGGTAAGCAACTGACTAAAATAAACTTCAGTGTTACAAAATAAGACATAATGAAAAATAGCTATTTCATCGCTTAACTTGCATAGTGCTTTATAATTTACATGTATTTGCAAATTAAAAACTTACAGATGAAGAATTTGAGGTTCAGAGAGGTGATGTGACTTGCATAAGTTCATGTAACTAGGAAGGAGAAAATTGGAAAATAAACCCATATTTTCTGGGAGGTTCAGAGAGGTGATGTGACTTGCATAATTTCATGTAACTAGGAAGGAGAAAATTGGGTTTTCTGGGTTTTCTGGATCTAGCTGTTGTACTTTTTCTATGTCAGAACTATTTCTGAAAAATTTTTTAAGAGAGATTTTTGTTATAGGGTGTGTGCGCTCTTCAGAGACAGGGTGTGTGCGCCCTTCAGAGACAGAGAGACAGAAAACAAGCAATCACCCCCTAGAGGGGATGGCCACGCCGCAATCCCTTCTCCTCCATTTTTCTCTTGGGATCTTGGGCATGCATGCACACGTGCCAGGCATGAGTTTAAGCCACTGGGTCTGGAACTCGAACCACAGTCGACTTTATGGGATTCTAGCAACGCAGTCATTAAGCCAGTTGCTGGTCCCGGAACTGACAGTTTTTATCTTCTCATTTATATTTTTGTGGGTTTGATTTTTCATTATCGATATGGGCAAGCCCAGATAGGCATGGAGGAGTCCAGAGCACTTGATGTGTGAGTGGTGAGTGTGTCCAGGCCTGGGTGGTTATAGAATTAGACATGCCTAACTTATATACAAGCTAAGTTAAGGAGACCTCTTAGACGGGGGTGTGAGTATAGACATTGAATGCCAAGGTTATGGCCTGTGCAGGAATGTCCTTTTTAGGCAAGTCTAGGTGTGGGATAAGACATGTCAGAACTTTCCTTGTCTTTAATAGAGTTTTCTTCTTTTATCATGTCTTAAATATAGTATCACTGTAAAAAGAAAAACTCATTTCCATAATCCAATCAAGATTTCTGGGTATGCTGCGGCATTCTTTTTTAATTTGAAGGTCATGGTGCATTCTTATATCTTATCAGCTCCCTCAAATGACCATCAGAAACTCTTTGGTCAAATAAAACTACCTACACAATAAGAGACAACATCATCATGATAGACTCTTACTGTATGGTCTTACAAGAAAGAATTCAAGAGAAAATATGTACAAGGCTTAGGAATCTGGCCTAAAGTGGTTTAAGGCAATTTTTGAAGAGGTTTTTGCTGTAGGGTGTGTGCGCTTGCCGAAGAGAGAGAGACAGAGAGACAGAGATAGTGAGGGAAAGTGAGAACACACACACACACACACACACACACACACACACACACCTGCCCCAAGAGGATGGTCACACTGTAGTCCCTTTTTCTCTGTTTTCCTCCCAGGATCTTGGGCAGACACGCACATGAGCTCGGCATGATTTTCAAGCCACTAGGTCTGGGAACCACAGCTGACTTTGTGGGAATCCAGCAATGTAACCACTATGCCATCTGCTGGCCCCCAATTTAAGGGAGTTCTTTCAAGATGGGAAACTGATTAGTATTGGGCAAAGTTGGGGACATGTTATCTTAGGATTTTTAGACACAGAGAGTCTTGGAAAGCATTTTGATAACTAACCCTTGCTTGAAAGATAAGCAAGGTTATCTATCTTGGGCAGTAATTTATTGTCCTATTAGGAGAACAGTTCACCCATATGAGCAAACTGTCAAGATAGATTATTTTGCAGAAATTTCCTTTAGCAAACAGAGAAGTTATTTACTAATTAGTCTCATCTTTTTGAGCAAGAATTTTCTGAAACAGTTACATTGTCACAGATATATTCTATGTTCTCAGACTCAATAATTAAGTTATATAGGGCAAGTTGTCTCAGTTCTCGTTGAAGCTGGTGTAGTAGGATATAGCCTGCATTTTTAAAAAATGAACAGAATATGAAATTGGTTTTATAAGTATTTTTTTTCTTTCAGTTATATATATACATCAGTACTGGGTCAAGATGAAAATGTGGGGGAAAAAAAGGATCTTGATCAAAAAAGTATAAGGGGTAAATAAGGGGGCCAGCAGGTGTCACAGTGATTAAAGTCCTCTCTCCCACATGGCCAACCACGGTTTGAGTCTCAGACCTGGTGGCTTGAAACTCAAGGCAAGCACATGTGCATGCGTCCCTAAGAGGAGAATGGAGGAGAAGGGATTGTGGTGTGACAATACCCCCATTGGGCGGTGATTTCTTACTTTCTCTTTCTCTATCTCTTCTGCAAGTGCATAGTGCAAAATCTGTTTAAAAAAAAAAGAAAAATAACATGTATACCACAGTTGTCATTTTTATGTGGTATAAATTTACTTGGCATTAAAGTATTCTGTGAAAAGAAAACTTTTTCTTTTGAGAAGAAAACATGCTTTATACTTTTGTAGAAAGTTGAAAGTTTTTAAAATATGGAAAGTAGGGATTGGCAGATGGCATAATGGTTACGTTGCTGGACTCCCAAGTAGTTGACTGTGGTTTGGGTCCCAGACCTCGTGGCTTCAAACTCACGCAGGTGTATGTGCATGCATGCATGCCTAAGATCCCAAGAGGAGAATGGAAGAGAAGGGATTGAGTTGTGGTCATCCCTCTGGGAGATGATTTCTTACTTTCTGTCTCTCTTTCTCTCTCTCCTCTCTTTGGTGAGCGCATACAACCTGTAGCAAAAATTTCTCTCTCAAAAAAAAACAAAAGTAAAAATGTATCAACTCCCAGGCAGTCATAGGTACTCATTTTTTCTTCACATAGTAACAAAGGTGCATATATACTTCACAAATGTCTAGAATTCAATTTCTAGAATCACTCTAGTAATTCATTGAAATTTGTTATATTCTTTTTGTCATCAATAGTCTTCGTTTTTTGTTTTAATAAAATCATTTTTCGAGGAACTAAGCTAATCTGGTTCATTTATTTTTTGGGGGGGGCTGTTGCCATAGGGCACGTGAACTCAGTGGAGAGAGAGAGAGTGAGGGAAAGTGAGAAATCATCCCATGGGGGATGGCCATGCCACAGTCCCTTCTCCTTTAGTCTCATCTCAGGATTCTGGGTACACACACACATGCCAACCTGGGATGATTTTCAGGCTACTAGGTCCAGGACTCAACCCTTGGTTGGCCAGGTGGGAGTCCCACACTTTAACTACTGTGCCACCTGCTGGCCCCCATCTAGCCTTATATTCTATTAAAAACAAGATTTTTTTTTTCTAGCCTCTTTCACCGAGATCAGTCATTATTTTATATATTATTACGTATTTAACTATAGTGCTTTTTTATTTTTAAACAGAACAGTGACAAAAATGAATTTCTGTCAACAACACCTTATCGTCTGAGAAAAAGATTAACAGGTATGTATTTCTTTTTACATGAAATTTTTATAGAGCAACATCCCAGACCAGCTGGTGGCGTGGTATTTAAGGCACCTGGATCCCACACAGCTAACTGTGAAGTTTGAATTGCGGATCCAGCTGATTGAGAAACAAGCTTTGTGTGTGTGTGCCCCAAATCCCCAGATGAAAATGAAGGAGAAGGGATTGTAGCATGGCCATCCCCCAAGGGGGTCAATTTCTCTCTTTTTTGTCTGTCTCCTGTGAGTGCATGTGCCCTGTAACAGAAACTTTAACAACTTGAAAAAAAAAAGAAGAGTTATATCTAAACAAGGGAAATAATGGTTAGGTAAACAGGTTCTAGACTTGGATTGCTTATTTATATTTTTTTTAATCTTTGGCCTGCTACTTACCAGAACCTCTCCCTACATCAGTTTTTTTCATTTGTAAAATAGACATAATGATGTTTCTAGCCTCAAGAGTTGTTTAGATGGGACCAGCAGTTGGTGTAATGGCTATATCACTGGACTCCCATGTAGTTGACCATGGTTCAAGTCCTGGACCCGGTGTCTTAACTCAGGCCAGGCGTGTGTGCATGCATGCTCAAGACCCTAGGAGGAGAAGGGATTGCAGCATGGCCATCTCCCCTGGAGGGTGATTTCTCGCTTTCTCTCTGTCTTTCTGGCGAGTGCATGTACTCTATAGCAAAAACGTCAAAAAAAAAAAAAAAAAGGTTGTTCAGAGGATTCATTTAAATAAAGGGCATCAAAAATGCTTAGTGTAGTACATAACTGTGGTATAAATGGACAAACGTGAGCTTTTATTATCTTTAAGTATTGTAGTAACTATTTTAACTAGTTACTGCTTCCTTTTCATGAAAGAAGGGATATACTCATTTCCTCAAGCTGTAGATTATATAAATACAAGGACTATATCTTATCTTTTTAATTTCAACACCTAGCACCATGTCTTTCACATTGTAGTCCCCTCTTTTTTTTCTTTTTTAATTCTTTTATTTTTTTTGGAGAGGTTTTCGCTATAGGGCACGTGCACTCGCCAGAGAGACAGAGAGAGACATAGAGACAGAAAGTGAGAAATCACCCCATCACCCCCCAGGGGGGTTGGTCATGCCGCAATCCCTTCTCCTCCATTGTCCTCTCGGGATCTTGGGCATGCACGCACACACGCCCGGTGTGAGTTTTAAGCCTCCGGGTCCGGGATGCGAACCATGGTCAACTACGTGGGAGTCCAGCGACATAGCCATTACACTAACTGCTGGTCCCTTTAGTCCCCTCTTACGTGCAGCTTCAGGGACTGTGGTCAGCTATGACCTGAATATATTAAATGGATAATTCCAGAAATGAACAGTTCCCAAGTTTTAAATTGCACATTGTTCTGAGTAGTGTAATGAAATTTCGCAACATTCTGCTCTCTTCTTCATCACAAGAAGAGTACAATATAATAAGATAGCTTGAGAGACCTTATTTGTATAACCTTTATTTCAGTGTATTGTTGTTATTCTATCTTATTGTTAGTGATTGGTGTTAATGTCTTACTGTACCTAATTTACAAATGAAACTTTATCGTAGGTATGTGTGCATAAGAAAAAACATAGTATTAATATATATGAGATTGGTATAGTCGTGGTTTCCAATATCCACTGGGGATATTACTGAATAATCATTAGATATTGAAGTCACTTAAAACCTCTCTTTAAAAAAAATGCCTGTTGGGAACCAGCAGTTAGTGTAATGGCTATGTCGCTGGACTCCCACGTAGTCGACCGCGGTTCGCGTCCTGGACCCGGCGGCTTAAAACTCACGCTGGGCGCGTGTGCGTGCGTGCCCAAGATCCCGAGAGGAGAATGGAGGAAAAGGGATTGCGGCGTGACCATCCCCCCGGGAAGTGATTTCTCGCTTTCTGTCTCTCTGTCTCTGTCTGTCTGTCTGGCGAGCGCACGCGCCCTATAGCGAAAACCTCTCCAAAAAAGAAAAAGAAAAATGCCTGTTTATTTGTTCTGAGATAGTTTAGAATTCCTTCTATTGTTTTATTTAGAAATTTTATAATTAAACCCTGTTAAATCCTCATCATTGTACTGAATGCTATACAAAGCTAAGAAAACAAACATGGGTCTTGCCTTTTGAATATTTAACTTTGAGACAAATGACTTGTTGACCTTTTTATTTCAGAAAGATGTCAGCCCCTTTCTTGCTGGCAGTAACATTAGTTAACATTAGCCAAATCTAGGTAGGCTTTAAGGCTTTATACTGTAACCTTTCTTTACAAGATAATGAATTGTATAGAGCTGCAAATACTACATTTTTATCAGCCTAAAAATGGTAATGCTAAGTGATTGGGTATCTGAAGCAATAAAAGATAATATGTTTGGGCCAGTAGGTGGTACGGAGGTTAAAGCCCTAGATCTCATATGGCAGACTGTGTGTGTGGTTCAAGTCCCAGACCTATCAGGTTGAGAACATGCCAGGCGTGTGTATTTGCTTAACCAAAATCCTGAGAGAATAGGATAATGGAAAAGGGATTATGATGTGGCCACTCCCTGGGAGTGATTTTTCACTTTCCTTGTCTTCTTTCCGTTTCTTTCTCTGCGAAGCACATGTTCCTTATGGGAAAACCTAAAAAAAAAAAAAAAAGATAATACATGGAATTATGATTTTTATCATTTCCTGTCAGATAGATCCTCTGTCTTATGTTTTCTCCTTACTCTCTCTTCTAGACAGAAGTTGACTTCCTCTTTCTTCTCATTCCCCATTAAACGTTCGGAGGTATAATGTAAATAAAATAGAAACATTCTGTAGTACCTCCTGCTGTATCTATACTGTGAGCAGCAATCAGTTCAAATCTGAATCTGCCACATGCCTACAAAATCTTGCTTGTCTTTCTCTCTTTTTTGATATCTACATTTGTTATAGATTGATTCCAAGTAATCCTCTGAAATATAGCTATTGTTTAGAATAAAGATACTGATTTGATTAAAGTTCTTTCACTCATATTTTAGAAGATAATTTTATACTCATTGAGTGTTGAACTAGTTTTATCCTTACTTGATAAGTTTAAAACTAGCTTTGTTTTGCGAAGTAATGGAGTGGTTCTTCAAAAATAGGTAAAGGCAACTGAATCCCATATGGTTGACTGTGCAGTTCATGTCCCAACCAAGCATTTTAAAAAACACTGTGTGTGTGCGTGTGTGTGTGTGTGCGCGCGTGCGCATGCCCAAAATCCCAAAAGGGAGAAGTAGAGGAGAAAGGATTGTGGCATGACTGTGCTCCATAGGGGTGCTTTAGCTTTCCCCCCTTTCTTTCTATCTCTACAGACAGGCCTTCTGACAAGTTAAAAAAAAAAAATAGGGACCAGCAGATGGCATGATGGTTATGTTGCCGGACTCCCATATAGTTGACCACAGTTCAAGTCCTGGACCCAGCAGCTTAGAACTCACACTGGGTGTGTGTGAGTGCATGCCCAAGATCCTGGGAGGAGAATGGAGAAGGGATTGTGGTGTGGCCATCCTCCCGGGGAGTGATTTCTCGCTTTCTGTTTCTATCTCTCGAGCAAGTACATGCACCCTATAACAAGAATCTTTCACTAAAAACATTAATAATAATAATATAATAATAATAAGGACCAGTAACAGTTACGTCACCGGACTCCCACATAGTTGATTGCGTTTTAAGTCTTGGACCCAGCAGCTTAAACTCATGCTGGCCGCATGTCTGTGTGTCCCCAAAATTCTTCGAGGAGAATGGAAGAGAAGGGATTGCTGTGTTCCCGTCCTTCTCTAGGGGGTGAATTCTCGCTTGCTCTCTGTTTCTGTCTCTCTGGCGAGTGCATGTGCCCTGTAACAAAAATCTCTCTTTAAAAAAAAAGGTAAAATTCCTGAATCAACTCTGGGATGGAGTGTACATATGTTTTTGCAGTATATAAAACAGTAGCCACCATTTCTTGAGTGTATATTGTTTAGTGCTTTATGCCATAAAATCTCACATTATGCGAAGTCTAAAATACAAGTTCCATGGCTGATATGACTCAGCAGTGTCATTAAGGAAGCCAGGTTTTTCTTCTCTTTTTGTTCTACCATCAGCATATTTCATATTTAGTTTTGATACTTCATATTGCAAAATGACTTCCATAGCTTTAAACTATAGGTGTAAATAGAGGTATTCCTTCCATAGATGAGGAAATATTTCCCAGCAGCTTCCAGCAAATTTCTCCTCAAGTCTCATTGGTCAAAGGGCTATATAGCCTACCTTAGTTGCCAGGAAGGCATGGAAGACAAATATCTGGCAGAAGGAAAAACCAATTACCACAATTCATGCCCTAGACGCATTGCCATGTTTTTACAAAAATGGAGTTCTAGCAGCAAGGAAGAAGGAAGAATGGTATTGGGTATGATTGACAAGTTGTACCACAGTTCTTGTGTGTCAGTCATTATTAGTTGCTTTACTTACATTCCAGTGTAATCTTCACAATGGTTTATTAAATCAGTAGCTACTTGCCTCATTTGATAAATGAGGAAACTGGTATTTAAAGAATTTACATAAGTAGCTCCAGTGAAATTATGAGCAAGAAATGACGGAACCAGAATTCAAACTGTCTTACTTCAAAGCCCACGCTTTTTCCCCACAATGCATCTATTGTCAGATTGTCACATTTTCCCACTGGCATTTTTTCTCCTTATAGTTTCAGGGTCTCATTCTGACAGTGAAAGTGAATATTCAGCTTCCAACTCAGAGGATGATGAAGAAGTTGCACAGGAATATGAAGAGGACACTAATGCTGTCATGTTCGGCCAAAAGAGTCAAACTCAGAATAGAGTAGTTTCAGCTCCTATTTGCAAAGAAACACCATCTAAGAAAATGAAGAGAGATAAAACAGTAAGTGAAGAGAGGGTCTTTAACCTTTAAGAATTATGATACTTTGACAATAGGCTACCCTAAGAGAAGAGATACACAAAAGGGGTCAACATAGTTCCTTTTCTTCATTTTTCTACATTTTATCAACCTTACATAAATTCCCACCTTCCTTCTGGGCCATCTCTTCTGGCCTGTCTACATATTCATGAATCATACTATAGTATGTGGGGCCAGCAGATGGTGTAATGGTTACATTACTGGACTTCCACATGGCTGACAACAGTTCAAGTCCCAGACCCGGTGGCTAGGGATTCATGCCTGGTGCTTAGGTGTGTGTGCCTGAGATCCTGGGAGGAGAATGGAGTAGAAGGGATTGTGGTGTGGCCATCCTCCCGGGGAGTGATTTCTCACTTCCCCTTTCACTCACTCTGTCTCTGGTCAGCGTATGTACCCTGTGACAAAAAGCTCTTCAGAAAAGAAAATACTGCAGTATATGCTAAAGGTGACATCTCAGTTCATTTCTGAAAAATGAACTCTTACATAAATAGTGAATGGAGAGTTGGAGACAACTCTTCTCAGTATCCCTTTTTTTACAGTTTTGTTTTGGTAACCTTGTTGGTGTATTCAGGTCAATGTCAATGATGTGGCTGTGGATCCATGTCGAATTATTTAGAAGAACAATGATTGAAAAAAGGCACTCAGGCCTGAGAAAAGGCTGATTATCCTGCTGCTCTGTGAAGAGCTTCAGAACAGCCTAGGAAGCCTATTGTATGAATAGCTAGCTTGCCATCCCTTCCTTACTTCCCCAGAGGTTAGTCCTACCTGAAATCAGAAGGACAAGCAGTGGACTGTTTCACTAGAATAGTTGGCAAGGTTTTTGGTTATGTTTTAACCTTGCTATGTATTTCTATCTTATTTTCACAGTATTTCATCCAAACTAATATTAAAAGATTGGCTAAGACAGTTTGAGGAAAAAATAAGGGTTCTTTTATGTAAAATCATCTTTATATTTTTAGACTAAATGACAAGTACATATTGAGACTTAGAAGTCTTTTTTAAAAATAATTATTAATTTAATTAATTTATTTATTATTATTATTCAGTATGACCAGAGAAAGGAAGCTATCCGATCAAAGGATTGAACCATGGTCGGCCATGTGGGAGTCCAGCACCTTAACCACCATGCCACCTGCTGGCCCCCCTTTTTTAAACTTTTATTTATTTATTTAAAAAACAATTACTTATTTTTAATTTTTTAAAATTTATTCATTTATTTATTTTAATTTGACCAGAGAGAGACACAGAGAAAGATAGAGATAGAGGGAAAGTGAAGAAAGGGAGAAAAAAAGCCACCAGGTCCAGTACTTGAACCATGGTCAGCCATGTGGGAGTGTCTGGTGCCCTAACCACCATGCCACCTGCCGGGCCTTATTTTTATTTTTATTATTATTATTTTTTTAGAAGTCTTTTTTTGTGGGGAACCAGTAGTTAGCGTAATGGCTATGTTGCTGGACTCCCACTTAGTCGCACACTGT